CTGGTCACTTCCTGGCATGGTAAGTCAGGTGAGTATATGGTCATTCAGTCATTTCAGGGATACACACTCAGTCAAATGGAGGGGTCTGACCCTCTTCTGCGATCTAGGGTCAGAGCTTCATTCTGCAGAGTTGATGTGGTCATAGCACGGAGTGAGAGGTGAGGGGGCTGGAGGTTGTCTGGTCATTGGTCTTCATCTGTCTTCCTCTACTGCTCAAGGAGGCAGGCACATCCTACCCCCGCCGGTGGTGAAGTGTCATCCTTGATTTCTGCTGTGCCCACAGATGGCTGAATTTGTGCCATAGCTTCTGACTTGGTCGGTGTAGGTCCACCTAGGTTCATGTAGGTTCTCTTGATTACATCCCACAAGCCTCCTCCTGATCATCTATCCCTCTTCAAGCAACTTCCATGCTGCTTTAGGGCTTCAGGACATATTTAGATGCTCTCTGGGATCCACACACATGAACCTCAGGCGTGGGCACTTCCAGGCCAACGTGCCTAGGCACACCCACCTGCCCATTTCTTTCTTTTTTTTTTTTTTAACGTTTTTATTTATTTTTGAGACAGAGAGAGACAGAGCATGAACGGGGGAGGGGCAGAGAGAGAGGGAGACACAGAATCGGAAACAGGCTCCAGGCTCTGAGCCATCAGCCCAGAGCCCGACGTGGGGCTCGAACTCACGGACCGCAAGATCGTGACCTGGCTGAAGTCGGACGCTTAACCGACTGCGCCACCCAGGCGCCCCCCACCTGCCATTTCTACTTGACTGATCCCATATTTTCTCTTCATGGAAGACTTGAGACCTTTCTCACAGATCGAGGCATAGATTCTCTCTACTTTCAGAGCCTGCAAACCTTTTTGTGGGTCCTAATCTCTCCCTATCCCTGCGCAGAGAGGATCAGGGGAAAGAGTGGGAGAGAGTCCTTTCTCAGACACCCACCCCAGTAGCTGACTGCAATGCTTCCTTTGCTTCAATTTTTTTCCCCACCCTTATCATTTTGGAAAATTGGTTCTGGCATCATCACATCTTATGTTTCCTAACTGTGCTGTTGCTAGTATAAAATTTAAGATTTCAGTCCTTCAGCCTCTTGGACTTTCAGTGCTCAAAAAAATCTTGCACTAAAAAGTCCGTTTATTCTAAGGGTTCACTTTGCAAATCAAGATCCAAGAATTTGAGTTTTTTCTTTGCATTCAGCATTCTCTCTTCTGGAATAATAAGGTTGTCTGATTTTTAGACAGAAGACTTGGAGTTTGGAAAAAGATAGAAGGAAGGCCAGAGATCTCCTGGGGACTGGATTATTTCTTAGCTTACATGCTGTCCTATAGGCTGGAACACACATCCAGAGTTCAGAGTCTATCCCATGGGTTGGTGCCTGACAAAGGGAGTGTGAACTGAATTCTGGGCAGCAGAGTCCCATTTTAGATGCACTGAGGGAGCTGGTCCTCATAGGAATTCTCCTATAAACACTTTACAGCCATGAAACTTGATTTACAAAGAGAGATCATCTCTGGAAATGAATTCACTATAAAAAGCAGCTTTTCCAGGGGCGCCTGAGTGGCTCAGTCGGTTAAGTGTCTGACTCTTGATTTGGGCTGGGGTCATGATCTCATGGTTCTCGAGAGTTCAAGCCCCACCTCGCTGCTGTCAGCACTGGGCTGTCTTGGATTGTCTGTCCCCCTCTCTTTGCCCTTCCTCCACTTGCACGTGTGCATGCTTGCTCTCTCAAAAATAAATAAATAGGGGCGCCTGGGTGGCGCAGTCGGTTAAGCGTCCGACTTCAGCCAGGTCACGATCTCGCGGTCCGTGAGTTCGAGCCCCGTGTCAGGCTCTGGGCTGATGGCTCAGAGCCTGGAGCCTGTTTCCGATTCTGTCTCCCTCTCTCTCTGCCCCTCCCCCGTTCATGCTCTGTCTCTCTCTGTCCGAAAAATAAATAAACATTGAAAAAAAAAATTAAAAAAATAAAATAAATAAATAAATAAATAAATAAATATTTAAAAAAAAAAAAAAAGCAGCAGGGCCGCCTGGGTGGCTCAGTTGGTTAAGTGTCCGACTTTGGTTCAGGTCATGATCTTGGGGTTTGTGAGTTTCAGCCCCACGACCGGCTTTACATTGACAACTGCTTCAGATTCTGTTTCCCTCTCTCTCTGCCCCTCCCCCGTCCTCTCAAAAATAAACATAAAAATTTTTTCTTTTAAAGGCACATTTTCCTATCTGGACTTGAATGCGGGCCATTTAGCTTCCCTGTAACCGTAAATTAGAAAATATTCCTGGCATTTGAGGGATGTAGCTAAAATTCAATACCTGCGCTCTGGTGGCAGAAGCATAGCTGGGGCTGAAGCATCAACCTTGCTCTGCAGTGGCTGTATGACAGCAGAAAAGTCTCTTCTCTTTCATTTCCTTCATCTGTAGAACAAGGAGCTTTGATTACGTGGTATGTGGAGTAACCGAACTTAGGACAAGACCGCAGCTGTCTCAGGGCCAGCTTTGAAGCCAGAGGAATCTCCTTCTCCTCGCATTCTTACTTGCCAAAGGGAATATGTGGGGGCCAGTCCTTTCTGACCTGGGCTCGTGATTATGTGTAAATGAGAGGGGATGAAGGATCGCCAGCCTGGACCCCAAGGTCTTGCAGCTGCCCTGTCGATCCTGAGAGGACAGTTTGAAGGAGGGTAGGGTTGATTCAGAAAGTGTGGAGCTGAATGAGTCACCATTGACAGACACTGCTGGCCCCTTCTTAGCAGTCCTTCATCACTGAGACCCTAATACAGAGATTTCTCAACTTAGCCTGGGCTTAAGAATCACTTGGAAAACTTGTTTAAAAGGCAGAAAAACCTGCCGTCAGGGAATCGGAGTCATTAGATCAAGAGTGGACCCAGGAATCTTTGTTTTTCTTGATCTGATGCCAACTTATATTTTGAGGTAAAACATTTTTGAATATGTAACATATTCATATGAATTGAAATTCAAAAGATAGAGAAGGTTATAAAGTGAACAAATCACCCCAACCCCTGTCCCCCAGTTACCTAGTTCCCCTCCTAACAAGGCAATTTCTTGTGTATGTTTCCTGAGATAATCTATGAATATAATAGAGTATATATGAATACATGAAATCTAGGTTTTATTTTGTTTTTATTAATTTTTTAACGTTTATTTATTTTTGAGAGAGAGAGGCAGAGCATGAGCAGGGGAGGGGCAGAAAGAGGGAGACACACAATATGAAGCAGGCCCCAGGCTCTGAGCCGTCAGCACAGAGCCAGACGCGGGGCTCGAACCCACGAACCAGGAGATCATGATCCGAGTGGAAGTCGGAAGCTTAACAGACTGAGCCACCCAGGCACCACTGAAATCCGCATTTTAAAAACAAGCATATCTTGGGGCGCCTGGGTGGCGCAGTCGGTTAAGCGTCCGACTTCAGCCAGGTCACGATCTCGCGGTCCGTGAGTTCGAGCCCCGCGTCGGGCTCTGGGCTGATGGCTCAGAGCCTGGAGCCTGTTTCCGATTCTGTGTCTCCCTCTCTCTCTGCCCCTCCCCCGTTCATGCTCTGTCTCTCTCTGTCCCCAAAATAAATAAACGTTGAAAAAAAAATAAAAAAAAATAAAAACAAGCATATCTTGATGATTCTAATATTGGGGGTCCCTAGACATATTTGGAAAAACATACACGTACTTCATGCTGGGTCCTCAGGCTAGATGTGCGACCCGACATTGCTCAGTCCCGCTTAGGATGCTTAACAAGAGTTTACAAAGTTCCACCTTGTGTGCCATGGGCAAGGGGGCAAAGGAGCTCCAGTGGGACCCGCCTAGGGAACCTGAGGCTGGAGGTGCGGAGGGCAGGGCTGTGTTTCGGGAAAAAAGTATGAGGGCTGTAGGTCCTTTCATCTCCCTGCCATCAGCTGTGGCACCTGGCAGACACTGGATACCACAGCTTGTAGACAAAAGCCTGGTAACCCAAGAAGTTGCTTGGCCTCCCTGCCCAGTCCCATCCCAGAAGAGCTGTAGGCCTCTGATTTCTTTAGGGGGCCCTGTTTGGAAGTTTCTTTTGTCTCCCTGGCGTCAGGAATCCCATCACATGCCTGGTGGTTAGGTGAGCCAGGCGCCTTAGTCTCCTAGGGAGGGGTGGCAAGGTTCACGAAGCAGCAAAAGGGTGGAGCCCAGAAAAGGCCCTGACTGGGTGGCATGGGGTTGGGGCGCAGTGCTTTGCCAAGCTCTAACCCCTTTCCTGTAGCGTTGGTTCCATCCTATGGACCCCGACGAGAGTTCTGCGCAGGCTGCGCCCTGACTGCCTGGTTCACCCCAGAATCCCCCAGCACCGCTTCATGCACATTTTGCTCAATACACGTTTGCGGGAGGGGCCTGGACTTGCGGTTTCCCTGCAACGATGGTTATTTTTGGCCTGGAGGCCTTTTCAGAAAACAAGTAGGAAACAACGCTTAGGAACACTAAACTGTGTCGTTCTGAATTTGTTCTCAGGTATACAGCAGGGGAAAAGGTAACAGAACTTCACTTCATGGGTTGTTATGGAGAGAGAACTAACGCATGCTGGGCACAGGGGATGACGCCGAGGCACCCAGCGGTATCTCAGGGCGGTGACTGCAACGCCCATCTGCCATTCTTCGCCTGAGCCTTCTTTCCCCTTCAGGAAAGGGGAGCCAGAAAGCCTCCCGAACATTAACCCTCCCCTCCCCCCCTCCACACATCCACTAGCAGTTTCTAGGTTTTTCAGGACTGGGGTCTTTAATTCGGCTTAGGCCAGCCCCTGCCTGAAGGACCCTGGCTGGCTGCGGAGTACCCCAGTTAGGTCCGCTCTCCTCCTTTCAGGACAGCGAGCCGCGCTCTCGGGGGTGGGGTGGGGTGGGGTGGGGTGGGGTGGGGTGGGGTGGAGTGAGAGGGTAAGGACGAAACCCCGCCCCCGCGCCTCGCGCCCGCCGCCTCTCCGCCCCACCGTCCTTGGCCTGCGTCAGGCGATCTCGGCGGCCAGCCCCGCCGGCTCTGTGACGCCTCGGGCTCAGGGGTCCTCGGCGCCTGCGCCCGCTTCTATAAAGGCCGACGCCGCGCCGCGCCGCCGTAGTGGCCTTGTTCTCTGCCTTTCTCTTCTCGTAGCGGAGGCTGCCCTGCCCTGTTTTTGTCACCCTCCGGCCCGCAGTCTCCTTGAGACCGAGCACCGTGAGTAGACGCAGGCCGAGCGGAATGGGGCGGTAGCGCCGTGGATTGCGAGCTGGGTGTCCGCACCGCTGTGCTTTGGCCTGCCGGAGGCGGGAGGCACCTGGGCCTTGCGTCCCTCAGGCCCAGTGGAACCTGTCGCTGGGTCCCGTTCTCCCGCCCCACCTCCCCCTCCCTCCCATCCCCCCCCCGACGGCGAGGCCTCTCCTGGCCGCGCGTCCTCACGACGCCTCGTGGGCGCCCAGGCCGGCGGGCGGGAGAAGGTGCGAGCCGGGCCCGGGATTGGTCCTTCCTCGCACGGGGCGAGCGTCAGTCTGCGCAGAGCTCGGCTGCGAGGCCCGGGCTGCAGCCCTGGGCTTCTCTTGGGCGGGGGTGGCGGCGGGGCTTTCAGTGCAGGTCTTTGGGCGGGCGTGGGCGTGGTGTGCGTGTTTGTTTGGTGTCCGGAGGGAGCGTGGCCGGTGGGAGTTTGGGAGCGCTGGATTTTTGGCTCGCGTTCCTTCTCTCCCTTGTATCTGCCCTCACTAGTCCCGGGTCCTGGCTGTGTTTGGGCCTCATGCTTGCAGATAGCCGCTTGCTCCTTCAGAATATTTCTCGCCATTTTTTTTGCCACAGCTTGGAGTTGCTGAAACAACTGTTGAAATAGCAGATGCCCTCGTCATGGTGGTGTGACTTGTAGGGAGGCCTAACTCATTAAAAGCTAGACGCTTTGGGTCATGTTTTACAGGGTTAGAATGTTCACCTGGATAGGACCTCACGTTTGGGTTTTGGGATAGTGAATGTATCAGAGCGTCACAATAGAATGTATCTGTCACAGAGCAACGCAGACTTCGCTCTCCTCTCTAAAAGGAGGTGCTAGAATTCGGGTCCCTTAAAACAGCTTTTTCTTTATGTTGTTGACAGAACCTGCTTCATTCCAGTCATGGAGGGGGATTTAATTTTCAAGATGAGGAGCTTAAAGAATTGCTTGAAAACCTGTCAAATCAAAATCTCATCCATTATTATTGCAGTTTTGCACCGAATTCTAGCTCTAAGACATTAAAAAAAAGTTCTCTTTAAGTATTAAGTTTGGCATCACAAAGTGCATCCGATTACAGATTAACAGATTGCCTCCCTGCTTATTTAATAAGATCTCAACTCCCTTAAGAGTAACCTAATACAGGAATTTGACTATGACTAAGCAGATCTAATTATTTGCCAAGAGTTATTTGAGAGAAATACGAAATGGTCACCTTCCTTAAAACTAATTTTATCAACTGAAGTTCCAGACTTGTCATTCTTTAGTGTTCATTCCAGTACTATCGAATGTAAAAAGAATGTAGAATGTTTGGTAAAAAAAAAAAAAAAAGAGTTCACGTTGAAGTATTTCCTTTGGGATTACCTTTTGTTACTGCCCTGTCACAGGGAAGGTTCTCTGAACTGGGCACTTCTCTGTTGAACAGAACAACTGCATTATTGGCAAGCATTAAGCATCATGGAGGAACAGACATCTTTGTGAACTGAAAAGTGAAATGAGATTCTCTCTAACCATTGATTCAGAGCAGGATATTTCAGTAGCTGGTTTTAAAACATAGCTTTACATTTTTGCTTCCTTTCTTTTGTTTATTTGGAGGAATGGAGATAATTGGGAAAAGGCGAATGAATATTTTAACTGATTTCATGGGTTCGAAGTCTTTGATCCTAAAATAGGTGCAGTGAATGGTTGAAATGTTTTTAGTGTTTGAGATAGAGAATCCCAAGTAGGTTCTCCATGTCAGCACAGAGCCCTATGTAGGGCTTGAACTCACAAACCATGAAATCACGACCTGAGCTGAAATCAGGAGTTGGGCGTTTAACCAGCTGAGCCACTCAGGCGCCCCGAAGTGAATGTTTTAAATGCCAAACTCTGTAATTTCAACTTAATAGTGACATTGCAGGATTATGAATACTCAGAAGCAAGGGCCTTTAAATTCTGTACTTGAAACTTGAAGAGATCGTGGATTAATCTTGAGAGTCTTCCCCCAAGTGCCTCTGCCAGCAATCTGAAAATAAGAAATTGATGGCTTAGAACTTTTAATTTTAAAGAAGTGTTTGGTTGTTTTTTTGTCAGAACTCAAGTCCTTTGTAGTTAATTGCTTAATTAATTTTTATCTAAGAAGTGTCTTTTCCCCAATGACTCATAATTTATCTGAGGTAATAAATACATTTTTGGAGCAAGTAATGGGTTATTTCTTTGAGGATTTTAGCAGAACTCAAACTTGGAAACCTGGACAGTCTTAATGAAAGCTAAGAAGTACTGTTAAATTTAGGTACCTTATTTGGTTTTGTAAATTAGATTATTTGTTTATCCTTAAATATTTCATTATCTTGCATATTTTACATTGATGCAAACATATGTAAGTATATTCTCATATACTCCTTGGATTTGAACTCATTTTTCACTTAAGTTTCACTATTGGAAAATGAGTACGTTATTAGCTTTGTTTGTTTAGGACTGACCACCCTCAGGTTTGCAGTTTTTTGTGGCAGTTAACTATTCAGATGAGAGTAATCAGTACTTAGAGCAGAAAAGCAGGCAAAGACAAAATAAAACAAGTTTATTTGAAATATATTTTGCATTAGAAGTGTAGAATGTAACTCTTAAATTTATTCCAGTAATAATTTCATTAGGGCAGGCCTTAAAAGCTTGTGTTCCTATGAGTTATAAAAAATTTGAAACTTTGAAAAAATTTTCTGTCAACATTTCTATACTAGCCTGTGAATAACCACTTGAAGTGTTTAACGGGGGTTTTACATAGTACGGGTGCTTAGGATTTTGTAGTTAGTAAGATAGAGGTCTTCTAACAGATTATAGTTGACCAAATGTATAGAACTAATATCTCTTAAATTTCAAGTTCAATATAATACCTTTTTTTTTTAGATGCCTTCAATTAAGTTGCAGAGTTCTGATGGAGAGATATTTGAAGTTGATGTTGAAATTGCCAAACAGTCTGTGACTATCAAGACCATGTTGGAAGGTAAGTTTATTAGAAAACCTGGGTAAAGGAAAAGTAGAAGTAATATTTAGGTGGAGATAACCTGTCAACACTGAATTTATACAAGGCATGATTTGTCATTAAGTGCGCAAGAGTATGAGGGGTAAATAAAGTTTACATTTTTTAAATTAAAAACTACAGTTTTCTGATACAGGACAGCCTTGCTGTATTGTCTGAATTAATGAGGTTGTTTGTTTTTTTTTTTTTTTTTCCTGTTGCTAAATAGGTAAGGCCATAAACTAATACTGAAGTGATTTCCCAGCATCAGACAATAATGGCCCAATTCTCTTTGAAGTAAATTTGGGTTCGCTGTTTGTAATGAGAAAAATAAAAGCCTCCGGAAAAAGAGATACCTCCCTATATGGTAGCTAAATAGAGTACTTTGTTTCAGCAGGGGAGTAAGCTGAGTAGATGGTAAATTGAGATGTCGGTCTTTTTTTTTTTTTTTTTTTTTTTAAACCACATTTTCCTTTTTGTCTTTTTTGTCGTTCCTTTGAAACTGCTGCAAAGCATAGACCCCGCACATTAAAGAAGTAAGGTTACAAAACAGGTCCTGAAACATTTTGAAACTTTTACTAGTTCACTTGAATCTTTTCTTACTATTCCAGTGGATTGGTAGACATTAATTAATAGTATATGGAGACAATGCAAATCAGTTTCTTGCATTGGTGAAAAAAAATTAATATTAAGAAGAATGTTGTTCAGTATTCAAATATCAAAGGTTTTTATGTAGCTTATGCTTCAGCTAAGAGAAAAGTTACATGCCAAGCACTAGCTGTATGCTGGGGAAAGGAAGCTAAGTGAGAAACCGTCTTTGCCCTTGAAGGATTTACAAACTGGGAAGAAAGACACCAAACAAGACACGCTGTCACATGGTATAATTAGTGCATTGATAAAATGTGCCAAGAGGTGCTGGGGAAATATCTTGGCTGATGTTATTTTTCAGGCTTGGGTAGAGACTATAGTGGGTGGTACTAGTGAGGTGATATTTCAAATTTAGTAAAATTAGGATGTTTTGGGAGGTTATTCTGAGGTAAAGTGGACAAGGTGTGTTAGAGAAAAGTAAAATTGAAATTTTTAGTTGGGGTTTATTGGTGTGGGGGTGAACTTGTGATACTGTAGTTGGTAGAGCTGAAGAATGGGCTTGAGAGAAATGGAAAGAATGTGACTTTGGAGCTTGAACATGTTATGTATGTTTGGTCCCCTCCCCACCCCACGCCCAAAAGAGTTTTGTAACAGTCTACTAGACAGTTGAGTGTGTGGATTGATCCCTGAGCTGTAGACTGCTAGGGATACATAGATTTTGTGTGGTGGGTTGTAGGAGTATTTATCTGTGGGAGTAAATTGAGGTTGGCAGTCAGCCATATTGGAATGGGAGACAGGTGGAATTAAGAGAGTAGAAGTCAGAAGTGGGGAATGAGTGGAATAAGATTTGTGGAAGTCAAGGGAGGCATTTTGAGGTGACCAGAGTGATTATCACATTCATCTACAGACTGGTTATTTGGAATTTCATAGTAAGAGGATTTCTTCCTGCACATATTAAGTTCGGTAGAGGCAAAAGCTAAATTACAGAGGGTGTGTCTTCTGTTTCCTAAGCTGGTAATTTCTGCTTGCTGATAAAAGCTGAACATGTAATTCTTTTTGGTAATTGGTACCAATCATGTGGCACTTACGGTCCTGTATCCTGGTACATACATACATAGATCACTTCTATTAAGTTGTAAACCCCTTGGTACATCCCACAGTCACTGTTCATCAAGTACCTGTTGAATGAAGAACTATGGTATGGTCACTAATAAAGAGTGTGAAAGCATTCCAAGTTCCCTAAAGGCAGGTGAGTAAGGCTTTGTCTAGAAGATGTAGAACTGATACCAAAACTGCTGCCTGAATACTTGCTTTGGCGATGAAAGTGTTCTTTATTTCATCTTAGTAGTGTCTTGCACACTAATCTGTCCTGTGCTGCTTCAAAAAGCATTTGCCCACATAAGAACATAGGGCTCCGTGAAGGTTATCCATGCCTCTTTTGATCACTGAAGCAAGTGGAGTGATAGCAACAGTTAAATGATTCTTTGCCTTCATACTTCATAGCCTTTGGGCATCATAGGTGAATGGTTTTTATCTTAAGTACCAGTCGTTTATATAAAATTCTAGCCTCATCAGGATTGGAGTCCATTGGATTTGGCAGCTTACTGCTTTCTTTGTTTTGCATCTGCAGTATCTCTGATTATGGGTTTTTTGTGACTTAGAAGACAAAAATAAAACCTAATCACAGTATAATCAGAACTGAAAATCTTGGCATGTGTGCACGTGGACGTACTGATTTGTTCAGGTTCAGGATGTGGTATCAGGATACAGGTGTCTTTCAGAAGTCCTTGAAACTAAATAGCTTAAAGGAATGACTGTTGCTACTTGTGAAGTCAGTCTAAAAGTGGAAAAGACATTGTACATCCTTAGTTTAAATGCTAGGGAGGTGATCCTTGATAACTGTTTTATTTATTTTGAGAGAGAGAGCGAGCAAGCACCTGCGCACGCACAAGATGGGGAGGAGCAGAGGGAGTGGGAGAGAGAATCCCAGGCGTGCTCCACACCTTCAGCGCAGAGCCTGATGTGGGACTCAGTGCCACAAACCGATCTGTGAGATCATGACCTGAGCTGAAATCAAAAGCCAGAGGCCACTCAGGTGCCCCAATAAGGCCCTTGTTTTTAACAGGGCTTAAACCTTCTTCCAAATAACATTTGGATCTAAACAAGTTGGTGTTCTGTATTATGGTTCCTCAAGTATTTTATATATTGTAACTTCCTTTTCTCCCTTCTAATTAAAAATACTTCACACTAGGGGCACCTGGCTAGCTCATTCAGTAGAGTATGTGACTTTTGATCTCAGGGTCATGATTTCAAGCCTCATATTGGGCATGGAGCCTACTTTAAATAAATAAGTAAGTAACTAAGTAAGTAAATAAATAAATTTTTAAAAAGGCATTAAGTTTCTTTCCTTTTTTTTTTTCCAATGTTTATTTTTGAGAGAGCCTGTGCCGGAGCACCTGGGGAGAGGCAGAGAGAGAGAGACACAGGATCCAGAGCAGGTTCTTCCCTGATAGTAGAGAGCCTGATGCTGGACTTTAACTGTTGAACTATGAGATCATGATCTGAGCTGAAGTCTGACACTTAACAGACTGAGCCATCCAGGCGCCCCTAAATAAATTAATTAATTTACAAAATACTTCATACTAGAACAGGAAAAGCAAAAGTGGCTTAATGCAAATTGAGATAGTCATTTTTGTACTTTTACTCTAGGTTGAGATGGGATCAGGGAATGACATTGGTAGAAAGGAGGAGAGGGGACAGGATTGATCCATCTGTACAGGAAACTAAGATAATTTTTCAGTCTACTCTCTTTACCACTCCACTGGAACTGCTTGTTAAGCTCAGTGACTTCCATGTTGTCAAGTGCGTGATCTGTTTTATTTCTCATCTAGACCTGTTGACAGCATTTGATCATCCCCTTCTACATTTGACTTGCAGGATACTTTACTTAGTACTTACCTCACGGCTTTCTATCCTCTCATTTTTAAATATTGATTGATTGATTGGTTGAGACAGCATAAGTGGGGGAGAGGGAGAGAGAATCCTAAGCAGGCTCCACCTGGTGACTGCACAGAGCCTGATGTGTGGGGCTCGAACTTAAGAAACTGAGATCATGACCTGAGCTGAAACCAAGAGTTGGATGCTTAACTAACTGAGCCACCTAGGCACCCTTCTGTCTTCCCATTTTTAAAGTCTGTAGTTCCTCAAGGCTGGCTTAATCATTGGATCTTTTCATAATATATGTACTCCTTGATTCCCTTGGTCATCTCATCTAGCCTCATAATGTTATGTGCCGTCTGTACACCAGTTCCCCAAACTACCTGTGATTCTGATCTCTTTTAATTTTTACACTTGACATATTTAACTGGTTTGTCTACCCTTGGAGATCTAATTGGTACCTCAGAGTTAGGGAACTAGACTAACTTTGTCTAGTTAGTTAGACAACTAACTAGATTGACACTTCTCTGACATATCAGAGAACACTTCTCTGCTCATATCAGTTAATGGTAACTCCAGTGGCACTTTCATCCATCCACTTCCTCATGTCATAAACCTTTGTCTTCCTTGACTCTTAACTCTACTTCCCATCTGTTGGCAAACCTTTTTGCCTCTACCATCAAAATACATACAGAATTGGATCATTCTTCCATAGCTGTAAACCTGTACAAGCCACCAGCCTCAGAGTTGTTTTCCTTCTTTCTCCTGTTCTCTGCCACCTATTCCCAGTACAGTAGCCAAAATGCACAGTACCCAGTTACTATCAAGTCCTCTGTTGTTGGTCTCATCTGCTTTCACCCTTGCTAACCCTGCTCTAGTAATATTGGATCCCTTCTGTGTTATTAGAACATGCCAGACCTTCCTATCAGAAGACCTTTGCCTTTGCCATTTTCTCTGCTTAGGTGTTCTGTCTCCTTTAGGGTTTTACTCAGATGTCATCTTTTAAATAAGACATGTTTGAGCAGTTCTATCTAAAATTGCAGCAATTCTTTGCATCCTCCTGTGTTCATTGCTGACTCTCCATTGCCTAGGACGCCTGTTAACTTATCAGGAACTGAAATGATTTGATTCAGCACTGGCCATGTCAGCATAACTGATTGTTTGCTACAACCAGTATAGTGCTGAAGTAACTTTGGGACACTAATCTTGGTACTTGCTAACTAGTAAATAACTTTGGCCGTTCTTTTAGTCATGTAGAAACTGAAGGGTGGACCCATTTGGCATGAAAAATACTCTTATTTAGGATCTTTAACGTAGGGATTTTATTTTTAAGGTTTTTCCGTGGAGTTCACCATCACTTTGAGAATCTGAAAGTTAGGTGTTTTTACCAGGACAACCTGTAGATTCACAATTGTAGGTAATATGTACGTGATGAATAACTCTTAACAGGTATCCACTGAAACTGAGTCCCTCAACCCACATTCTTGTTAATTTCCCTACACAGAATATTGTTAATACTTCTGTATTCCTGTGAAGTTATTTTAAATCTAAATATCTCAGTATATGCCCATTTTTATTCAGTTAACACTTATTTTCTTATACCTGGCTTTTAAAAACTTTAATCCTGAGATCATACCAGTACATAAGGAGCTGCCTGCCTTATTTTTGTCAGTGGTTGCATGATTTGTGTGTGTATATATACATCTTTGGGCTTCAGATTTTAATACATTGAGATTCTGTTACTTGAATACTTTTTCCTCTGTCTTTCTAAATGCAGCCCATCTAGAGAGTTTGGTATTAAGAGTAAGGCTAAGGGTCTGGCTTTAATTTTTTACTAAATGGCTGACCAGTCATCTCAGTCCCACTTATTAAGTGACTTTTCTTTCTTATTAAGGATCCTTTTTGTGTAATAATCCTGAAATTGTCTACTCCCACAACTTTTTATAGTTTTTGGTGGTTTATGGACCTGTTGGGAACCACTAACTTTAAATGCTCATAAGAGAACTATTTTTAGTAGAGTACTTTTCATAGTCGTAGACAATGTCTTGCAAATTACTCATTTGAGACATAGCCTCCTTGGTATAAATAATGGGAATAATGGCACCTCTCTTCTGGTTTTCTTAGATTTGGGAATGGATGACGAAGGAGATGATGACCCAGTTCCTCTACCAAATGTTAATGCAGCAATATTAAAAAAGGTAAGGTAACAAACTATATATTTGTATATATGCTTTTGTTTTTTCATTGAACATCCTTGTGATCTTATTGTACTGCTACATAGATCGCTTCCTTACATCGACTGATTATGAGTCTGGATATTTGTTATGTTTATTTAACTAGGTCCTGTGATTATTTGATAGATACGCTGCAAGGGGAGCTTGAGGATAAATATACCCACACCATTGACCACCTTACCTTGTGTCTAAGCATAAAAGGCTCTTCACGTTGAATAGAATTGTAGCATTTCAGGGTACATGGCTCCTTAACAGAGCCAGCCATTTAATTGGATGCTCATCTGAAGAAATAGCACCGAGTTTTTATAAAGTGGAGGAAACTAGTTAAGCTTAGAGATGAGAATGGTTGGTTCCAGTTGGCCTTTTGCTCAGAGATTTTCAAAGGTCATTGGCTATATGCAGTTTCATCTTAATGCTTTCTCTTGATCCTGGTGTGAGATACAGCTGTGCTGCGTATTTTTCCATATCCTACCACAATTAGCTATTAGCATTTCTTTTAATTGCCCTAGACTGGGTAAAAAGTGATTCTCTAAGCCTGAACATTTTTTGGCATGTATTATTGGCCATTTGTATTTTCTGCTTGGTCTGTTTTCCTTTGCGTGTCTTTCTGGTGGGCTTTTTAAACATAGTTGTAGGAGCACCTCGGTGGCTCAGTTGGTTAAGTGTCTGACTTGATTTTGGCCCAGGTCATGATCTCATGGTTCATGGGATGTAGCCCTGTGTTGGGCCTTGCACTACCAGCACAGAGCCTGGTTGGGATTCTCTCTTCTCTGTCTCTCTGTCTCTCTCTACCTTTCCCTCCCTCCCTCCCCTGCTAGCATACGTGCATGTGCTCTCCCTCTCTCAAAATAAACTTAAAATTGTTATGAAATACACATAACATAAAAATTGCCATTTTTGGATGCCTGGGTGGCTCAGTTGGTTAAGTGTCTGATTTTGGGTCAGGTCATAATCTCGCATTTGGTGAGTTTGAGCCCTGTGTTGGATTCTTTGCTGACAGCTCAGAGCCTGGAGCCTGCTTCAGATTCTGTTTCTCCCTCTCCCCCTGCCCCTCTCCCACTTGTTCTCTCTCAAGAATAAATAAACAGGGGCACCTGGGTGACTTAGTCGGTTAAGCGTCCAACTTCGGCTCAGGTCATAATCTCACAGTTCATGCATGAGTTTGAGCCCCGTGTCAGACTCTGTGCTGACAGCTCAGAGCCTGGAGCCTGCTTCGAATTTCGTGTCTTCCTCTCTCTTTGCCCCTCCCCCACTCATGCTTGCTTGCTCTCTCTCTTTCAAAAATAAACATTAAAATTTCTTTTTAAAAATTGCCATTTTAACTTTTTTAACTGGACACCTCAGTGGCATTAAGTACATTTGCACTGTTGTACAGCCACCACGACTCACCATCTGTAGGAATTTTTCCTCATTCCAAACTGAGACTCAGTACTACTTAAACAATAACTCCTCAATAACCCCTTCCAGCCCCTGTTAACCACTATTTTCTGTGTCTGTGAATTGGACTGTTGTGGGCACCTCATATAAATGGGATTATACAATATTTGTCTTTTTGTGTCTGGCTTTGCATAATGTTTTCAAGATTCATCCATTTTGTAATCTAGTGGACTTTTTATAGGAGTTGTTTATATGGTGTTTCTATCACTTTGCATTGACTTAAGTCAGTTAATAGTATTTTATGGTTTAGAAGCTTTATATTTTATCCAGTTAGATTTTTTTCTTCTGGGTATTGTCTTGCAATAAACATTCTGTTTTATCCTAATGTAAAATGCATCTAAAAGGACTTTATTCAAATGCCATTTTTTAGGTGTTGGAGTTATAGCAGTAACCAGAGACCAAATGTCTGCCCTTAGGGAATTAACATCCTAAAGGTGTGGGGGAACCATACAAGATAAATAAGTCAGATGAGAAAGCTGTGGAGCATAACTGGGTTGATCGATGGAGAGTTAGCTATTTTTAAAATAAAGGTGGTTAGGAAATGCCTGAGAAGTCGATCGTTGAACAAAGACATGATTATGTGGGGGAATAGAGTTCTGGGCATGGGGAGCAAGTGCAGTGACCCTAAGACAAGAGCATGTTCTACTCTGAGGAAAGGTGGGAAGGCAGCAAGTGTGGTGACTAGAGCATAATGAACAAGCAAGGAGTTAGTACAGAAGATCAGAGTTAATGGTCTGGGTGATACGGGGCCACTTCAGAGAATAAGTTTTTTAAGCCTATTCTTAGGAATATTTGAAATTACATACTGAATAACTGCATGATCCAAAACTGCAAAAAAGTATATGGTAGGGGGCGCCTGGGTGGCGCAGTCGGTTAAGCGTCCGACTTCAGCCAGGTCACGATCTCGCGGTCCGTGAGTTCGAGCCCCGCGTCGGGCTCTGGGCTGATGGCTCGGAGCCTGGAGCCTGTTTCCGATTCTGTGTCTCCCTCTCTCTCTGCCCCTCCCCCGTTCATGCTCTGTCTCTCTCTGTCCCAAAAATAAATAAACGTTGAAAAAAAAAAAATTAAAAAAAAAAAAAAGTATATGGTAAAACCTCTCATCCTTGGCTCTGTCTAACCTGCAACCCCCTCAAGTAATACTAGTCAACATTAGTTTCTTAGATATACTTACCAGTTTTTTTAATGCTTACGTAAGCAAATACTGCTGTTGTTTTCTTATACAACTGGAATACTTAAAAAACTATTGTTTATTTCATTAAAACTCCATAGCTTGACTTTCCCTTCTAGAAATAGTTCTTTCCTTTTCTTACATCCTGGCAGTATAGTTTGTCAGTTCTGCCATTTTTTCTCAGCATTGCTTATTCCTCCAGTATTATACTGAATAAATTTTAATCATACAGAAAAGTGAAACTATACAGCAAACACCCACTTACCACCTAGATTCTATAGCCTATAACTCTTTCAGTGTTGATTTTGGTCTTTATGATGGTACATAGAGTCTAACCAACTCTCTGAAACTTTATGTGTGTTTATTCCCCTTCTAAGGGAACGTGTGGGCTTTTCTTGCTTTGTTCTTATGCCCAGTATTCTTGTGCGCATGTCACGGATGTTTAGAATTTCTTGGTGATAATGTATGCACATCCTCACCCTCACTAGTATTTGATAGATTACTTTCCAAAGGGGTTATTTTTTTTGTAACTTTTTTTTTTTTTTTTTACGTTTATTTAATTTTGACAGACTGAGACAGAACACACGTGGGGGCGGGGCAGAGAGAAAGGGAAACAGAGAATCCGAAGCAGGCTCCAGGTTCTGAGCTGTCAGCATAGAGACAAGCGATGAGATCATGACCTGAGCCGAAGTCAGATGCTTAACTGACTGAGCCACCCAGGCACCCCTCAAAGGGGTTATTACCTCACTCTCCAGTATAAAGGTTCATGTTATCCTCACACTATTGCCAGAGATTAGTATCAAAATCCTGAGTTGGTTTTTTTTTTTTGTCAGCCTCAAGTAGTAACTGTAATATTGGTTTTTGCATCTAATAAAACTGAGCATTTTCTCCTGAGATTTCTTTTGTGAATAGCCTGTTCATATCTGTAGCTCATTTCTTTAGTGGTTTGTTTTTTTTTTTTTTTTCAAGTAAGCTCTGTCCCCCGTGTGGGGCTCAGACTCACTATTCTGAGATCAAGAGAGAGACACATACTCTACTGACTGAGCTAGCCAGGTGCCCCACTTTGTAGTGATTTTTAAGATTTATATTCTAGAGGGTAATCCATTGCTGGTTGCTCATGTTGCATGTAGTTTTTAGTCATTGTCCTGTCTGACTTTATGTATTTTTTGCACAGGAGCTTTTTAGTGTGGTCAAGTATAATTATCTATCTGCATGTTTGCTTTTAAGATCGTCTAACCCCTAGGGTTATGAAGATTCCTCAAGCTTCAGTTTTGCTTTTCAAGTTTGACTACTAACTTGATTATTCAAGTGAACTTCTAGCTAGTTCTTAGCCCAGTGTAAAAACAACTTTGCCCCATTAGTGGAATGAGTACCTTGTGATGTAATGCCACAGAGGAATAAACTTTCATTTTTACAGGTCATTCAATGGTGCACCCACCACAAGGATGACCCCCCTCCTCCTGAGGATGATGAGAACAAAGAAAAGCGAACAGATGATATCCCTGTTTGGGACCAAGAATTCCTGAAAGTTGACCAAGGAACACTTTTTGAACTTATTCTGGTATGTTCTTAATACATTCTTTAAGATATTTCTAGCACTTCTAATAGTTAAATTTATTAAATTCATTGACACTGAATTTTAATTCTCTATAAACTCCAGTGCAGTGCTATATTTGAATTTATATATTAAGAACCATATTAAATAAGTGATCAAATGTAAATGCAACAGAGGGTGGAGATGGTCACATTGAATTTTTAAAAAGCAAAATTCAGCTATGCTGTGTCCAAAACACCCACTTTAAAGAGACAGATTTAAAGGGTGGAAAAAGATTAAATTATGATAACAGTAATCAATAGAAAACTGCAGTGACTATATTAAAGTAGATTTCAGAGCAAAGAATATCACCAGGATTAAAGAGGGTTGCCGCATAATGATGAAGGGATCAGTTCATTATTAGGGCATTATAGTCCTAAGTGTTTATTGCCTAAAAGAATTTCCAAAAAGTGAAACAAAAACCAGTAGAACTCAAAGGATGGATAGACAAATCCACAAGCCTAGTGATTTTAACACGTGTCTCTACTTCATTGATAAAACAAGTAGAATCAGTAAGGATGTAGAAGCCATGAATGACACTATTGACTGACTTATCCTGATGGACATTTATAGAATGTTAAATATAATGACAGCAGAATACATACTCTTCTCAAAAGTATACTACTAAGATAGACCTGTTAATGGTAGGAAAAAAGTCCCAATATTTGAAAGGAGTCAAGGCACATACACTGTGTGATCTGATCACAGTGAAATTAAATGAGAAGTCTGTAACAAAGCTATCTGGAAAATCTAAATATTTGGAAACTTAACACTTCTTAGTAACCCATGAGTCAAAGAAGAAATCAAAAGAAAAACTAGAAAAGAATTAAAAATTGTATGCCAGAAAGTATTTTGATCTGAATGGAAATAAAACCCAACACAAAAATCGCAGATGCAGCTAAAGTAGTATTCAGAGAAAAGTTGATAGCACTAAACCACCTGTATTGGAAAAGAAGATCACTGATCTAAGCTTTTACCTTACACTAATGAAAGATGAAATTAAAGCCAAAGGGAATATTGAAGGTAAGAGTAGAAAATAGAGAAAACCAAAGAAACCAAAGAAATTGTTTGAGATCAGTAAAATATAATGCTATGACTGCTTTTGCCTCTTTATATATTTTTGTCAAGATTTGACATATGCTTGTGCACCCATGAGCACAAACATGCACGCCCATAAGTAGCGGCTCTTCTCTAGCATTAGAGGTAGTGTAGTTTGCTTAAGGCAGCAGCAGGACTCCATATTATAGAAGGTATAACAGAAGGACATACAAAAATATTTCACAAAAGAATCTGATTTATTTTCCCTTTAATTTCATAAAATTAACTAGCATTTTAGTTTAGTTAATTAGATATGGATTGGCAATCACTACCTTTAGATTTAGGTTACAACCTCAAATAATTCTTTAATGAAAACAATCACTTTACAGGCTGCGAACTACTTAGACATTAAAGGTTTGCTTGATGTTACATGCAAGACTGTTGCCAATATGATCAAGGGGAAAACTCCTGAGGAGATTCGCAAGACCTTCAATATCAAAAATGATTTTACTGAAGAAGAGGAAGCCCAGGTAGGTTGCTCACAGCTTGTTCTTGATCACACACTTTTTAAAAAATAATGAAATGCAAACATGCTCAGAAAAGATGTGTTGTCTCTATCAGGGAATCTTGACTTTTACTTGAGGGTTAGTAGGCACCTTCTGTGTTATAAAAATACTCGTTTTGAGAGTGGTCTGTTAAGTCTAAACACTTGCACAATACCACTCTTGCCTAAGCATAAGAACGATTAGTTTTCAATCATAGGTGCTCTTTGATAGTTACTCCTTTGCAGTTACTAGTTTTGGCACCTGGGACCTTAAATGTAAGCAAGCCATAAATATTTGACTTCAGAAAAGCAACCCCTGTGGATGGTGTTATGCCAGGACACTTATGAGCATCTTAGTGAGTGGGGGAAGAAATGAATGAAAAGATCAGAATGTTGACACAGCTACAAACTGAAATAATGTGCATGAACTGTTTGAATTTGTTGCCATGTCTGGTGACTGAAGCTTTAATGCCCATTGCCTTTGTTTTTTTGATAATTTCAGCAGGGTAGAATAAAAACCTGGGGAGGCAAAGAAGGATAACCAGGAAGTGTACTTGTAACCTGGTATTTTTCCAGTTTTTTGTCTGTCCCTGTCTGACCCTCTTCATAGTCTGTTGATGAATCATTAGGTAGTAGTCTGAGGAAAGACTTCTTAAGGTGCTTCCTTATATCTGTCTCTTCTAGGTACGCAAAGAGAACCAGTGGTGTGAAGAGAAGTGAAATGTTATGCCTGACACTGTAACACTGTAAGGATTGTTCCAAATACTAGTTGCACTGCTCTGTTTATAATTGTTAATATTAGACAAACCGTAGACAAACGCAGCAGCAAATCAGTTGTTTTAGCAGAATATTGTCCTCCTTGCATGTGTAGTTTGAGTACAGATTCCAAACTTATGGCTGAGTTTCTTCCAGTATGATCAAAAGTTTTTGTTTCTTCACTCTGAATAAAACTCAACTGTGGGTTCGCTATAGAAGGTGGCATTTTGGGATTTCCCTCTCTGTAAAATGTTTTCCATCTAGTTTATTGTCAGTTAACGTTAGTTTAATAACCTTTTAAAAGTTGGCATTGTAAATAAAACAAGTTGCAAAAAGTTTTCTGAACTAGAATTAACAACGTATTATCTTTATTCATGAGTTGGAAACTGGAAAAAGGCTACTTGAGGTAAATGTTTTGAGTGGGATTATTAGGATGTCTTCCAGCTTCCTGGAATCAAAGAGTGCCACTGGTATTGATGAACCTGTATGTAGCAGGGCTCCTTTAATTGGATCTAAGGACTTGTTTTTGCATTTTTAATCCTCAGCTTTGACTATGTTGGCTAGAGAGTCAGTTACTCCTCAGTTTGTGGTTTTGGGGGAAATATAACTAGATGGTCTGTTAGCTTTTCAATTAAAAAGGACAAATAACCTGTGTGATATGTCATCTTTTTATAATCAGTGATCCCATGTGGGGGAAACGTCACACTACTTGCATGTAAAAATAATTTAACCTTTAACATTAAAATGTCTGGCAAAACCTAGAAGGTATGCATCATGAATGCAAGATACTTTCAATAAAAAGTAAGTTACATAGTAGGTGGTAAATGGTTTGCTTTTGTGTACTTAACTGTGTCTCTTCGCTTGTTATTAAATGAGTTAAATATACGAATGGTTTTGTAGCTGGAGACAGCTTATAGTCAGTTTGTGTCTTGACTCACTGGAGGCTGCTTACAAAACAATTGGGTTCTGGTAGGCTTGTGTCTTTTCTGACTGCCAGTGACAGGGTTTGCTAGAGCCAATGCTTTATTTTTTATTTATTTTATTTTTTGCCAGTGCTTTAGTTCTTAATCTGTGTACATGGCCACACAGGACTGCATGTCCTGATCTTGTTGCCAGCCTCTGCCCTACAGTAGAATGTTTTCTTGATGGCTTGAGATGGCTCACAAATTGTTTTATCATCTTGTTTCTTTCCTCCTATGTGCTCCCTTTTTTCTTCCTTTCCCATTTAGCATCACCTGTATTCACATGTAATCTTCCTGCATTCTCTTCATGTTTACTGTGAGCTTTTGTGGCTCAGATTATTTGTTGACAGTAATTTGGCCTTATACTTGACCTCTCATTGCCCCAAGTCTGTCTTATTTAATAAAGTCCCGTATGCTGTGTTACATGAATTCCTGTTCGTTGCTTGTACCAGAGATTGCAAGCTACAGCCCATGTGTGGGTGAAATCCATCCCACAGCCTGTTTTTGCAGTCTTTGAGTTGAAAATGGTTTTTATGTTTTTAGAGTATTGTTAAAAAATCAATATAGGAGACTGTATTTGACCAAAAAGCCTAAAAAGTTTATTCTCTGGCCCTTGAGAGAAAAAGTTTGCCAACCTTTGTGACTACTTCTGGCTCCCTGGCTCCCTTCATTCCAGGGATCATACTTCTTTTCCATTTGTCCTAGTTTTAATTGGGAAGGTGGCAGAATTCAACCCTAGCTGCAGTGTCTCCTCTGCTAATTCCTGCCTGTCAGTTCTTGTAAAAAGCTTAATCCCACCCCCCATTCTATCCCTAGCAAGATTATGAAAAACAAAACTCTTGAAAGTTCAGGATTGTTAGCACATGTGCCATGTTTAGTTTGGGAAGGAAACATATCCGCTTCTGGGAAACAAAACCTGTTCTCAGTCTGTATAACCCCCAAGAATTGTTGGAATTACAGGACTAAATAATACCACTACCCATATTTAAAGGACACTAGGATCTTTCTGAATAGGTAATACTTGAGTAGACAAGATATATATAGTAAAGATTTTTGCCCCCTTCATGATTTTCTGTAGATTATGGCCCTAGGTTTTAAACAAAATATCCTGATAATGTTAAACTCTCAGGTTTAATAGAAGTCTGACAGCTCATCCACTAGAAAATAGGCCATTTGTGGACATTGCGTGCCCACAGAAGTCATAGGTTTGGTGTTCAGAGGCACTTCAGGCTGGCTGCAGCACTCGGCCTACCTTATCCTTTCTAACCTGCTGTCCACTCAATATTTCTTTAATATGCCTACTAAGAGTTTCTGTGCCCTTACCTTACGCAGGGAAGGTAAGTGGCCCTTTCTCCTTATCCACAGTAACCAAACCTATCTTCAGAGATAAACTCTTTCCCACTCTCCTGGCTTTTCTAAACTAAAACTGTGGAATGAAGTCATACTGTGAGGCCGGACCCCGTTTCTGCCTCTTAGTGCCTACCTGTCCTTAGGTAAGTTCGAAATGGTAATTTCTTTGGCTTCTCAGCTTTTCATTGACTGTGTTACTTAGGATTGAGAGTAAACCAAACTACTTCTGAATGTTCGCTTAGTCCTTTTTCCCTGACATAGCCATGGATTAAGGATATGCCCCCTCAAACAGATTCTAATAATTGTTATATTGTAGAAGCAAGTTATGTCATTTGAAGTGCTGCTATATTTTATTAGCTTGCCTTCACAAATCTATCTTTAATACAAAAGGTAGGTACTGCTTTGCAGTTTTTATGTTTTTCCAAAGATGCACAGAGACATCCTAACATTGTTACAGATTCTTGAGTGGCATTATAGCTGTGATTTGTTTATTCTGCAACTGTTTGAACACATCAGCTCCTGGAATTAAGATTTATACTGTAATTTGGTGCACTGTTAGGACTGCAGCCCTGTAATATGAAGTTAATGGTAATGCTGAGCTTAGACTGGAACTAGCTGTAGGAGAAGAAGAGTAACAATGAATTCCTATGAACATGTGACTCAGAGCGGGCAGATATTCCAAACCACATGGTCTCTTAGCTTACTTAAAAACTGGCCAATCCTATAGCTGGCTGATCCAAGGTAAATTAAGAAATTAGGGGGTGCCTGGGTGGCTCAGTCGGTTAAGCATCCAACTCTTGGTTTTGATTCAGGTCATGGTCTCCTGGTTGTGGGATTGAGCCCCTCCACACCCAGTGTGGAGCCTGTTTGGGATATGTTCGTTCTCTCTCTCTCTCCCCCTCTCTCTCCCTCTCCTTCCCTCTCTCTCCCTCTCTCTCCCTCTCCTTCCCTCCTTCTCTCTCTCTCCCTCCCTCTCTCAAACTTAAAAAAGAATATATACTGTATCTGAAAAAAAATGAAATGCTGTATAGGTTGCCTAGACTCTTACTAGGGCAGTTTATACAGGGATGGGAAGTGGCTTGCATGAGGAAAGAACTGAGAGAACAGCAGTACCCTTTATCATATCCATGGCCTAAGAAGCTTTCATCTTTCCAAGCTTAACTTGTGCCACCACTTCCATTTGAAGGTCTTTCTGGTCTTTCTTGTTCTAAAGCTCATTATACATTTAAATGGAATGGAATCAAACAAATATTCTCCCTAGAAGTTACTTGAGCTTTATAAAGATGGTAATCTTCAGTTATCTGGTTTGTATGAAAACTGATTTTACGCTAGGACAGAAGAGAGTAAGGGAGAAGACTGCAAGTAAAGGGAAAACATATGAAATGATTGAATCCCTAAAGTGTAGCCTCTGGCTTCTCTTTTGTAGGAAGTGTAAGAGATGGTTGCCCTTTTGGGAGCTTTTGGCGTAGCTCATGAGGCAAGGCATAAATACTGCTAGGAGGGGATGAGTAACTATTAAAAATGTTCCTGTACAGAACAAGATTAATGAGTAAATGGGGGCCCCAGGGCTGGAAGAGTCTATGAAAGTGCTGTGAGAGAAACTAATTTGGTTTCAGAAGTTGTTTTGGTTGGGAGTGGAGTGATGCCAAGGTGAGGGGAAGGCAGTGTTCAGTGTGGAACTACCAGCAAAAGGTTGGGTGTCAGTAGGTCTGCTGGAGAACATAGGCTGAAAAGAGACATGAGGGCTGACAGAATTTTGTGATACTCTGGGAAGAGTAGTAATTAGTTAGACCCATGTCGGGCAGTGCAGTTCTTGAGTATTTGAACGAAAACATTTTTTTAGTATTGTACTAAAGGATTGTGAATTTGGGAGTTTGACAGTCCTATTTGATGTTTTGTTTACTGTTAAAAATGACTCTTTGCAAGGCAGAGTGAGAACGAGATGTGCATATCAAGACTGATGGTGTGGGAAGTTTAGAACATAATCCTTGGCCCAGCATAGAGCCTTTTGGACATCTAAGCAGTATAGACTGAATGCTGTCCTTACTGTTGAGCTGTCAGTAGATAGGAGCCTTATTGGTGGCATAAAAGAGTTGGTCAGGATGCTCTCATTGGATGGAATTCCAGTGTGGGACTTGATTTGAGCGATAGTTTATGTAACTCCTGGATGGTATACTTGTTGCCTTGTAGTATTTCACACCTTGGCTACATCTGATCTGTGTCCCAAAACCGAGAGGCATTTTGTGGGAAGAATATAGAATATAGTTGCTTACAACAGTATCTATTTCTACATTCTGTGGTTCCCATGACTTTTTGACACTGCTTAACTTAAAAATTTCAGAAGTACTTACTGAGCACCTTTCTGTGCTGAGTGTGCTTTTCTACAACATCTTTTACTTATTTCAATTGCTTTGCAGATAATTGTGTCCCAGGAGGCTGTTAGGATGGGTGGGAATACAGAGAGCCACACTGTCACAAAACTGTATTTAAGAGGAGTTTCCAGAGTGGCCTGCCTTTCCTTCTCTTCCTTCATTTCCTACTCTTTACTCCCCCTCCACATTTCTCCCTTTCCCTCACCCATACCCCAGAGATTGACTGTACATGCTCAAAAGAACAAGTCTTCAGATAAAGAAATGTAAGAACATCTGAATGGAGAAGAAAGACCTGGTCCCGAGCCCCAGGTGAACTTGAAAAATGTATCAACTTGAACTAGTAACTATTTGCTATAGAATTCATAGCTGATGAGATACCTCTTACCTTGTATTGCCAGTGACTGAATTCTTGACAACCGCTAGAGATAGGATAGTTCCTACCCCTAGCACAGAATTTGCTTTTTCCAGTTACTTCTGTGCCTACACTAGCGTTAATTTCATAATCTGTCCTGCCTTGAGCTAGGCTTTTATTCTAGCAAACTGACTATGGGAATATCCCCTTCTAACGTCTCTCCACTGTCTTAATTACATCAGTTAGGGCTCCTCTCAGACCCCTCCTGCCCATTGTGTACAGGTAGACCAGTGAAGGTCCATTAGCTGCCCTGGGCCAGTAGAGAGCCCAAGAGCCTGAGTTAGAAATCTGGGGGAGTTCCTGGGAACCAGGGTCTCCTTGGGTGGTGAGCTCTGAGTAGACCTGAGAAAGTCCTGATAAAGCAGCCTTTCTAACTTGAAACAAAAGCCAGTCAGCTTTTTTATTAAGGAATTAGTTTTTGGTCTCAAATCTTCCTTGATATATAGACCTGGCAGGTCTTTGTTACCTTTGCCGTTTCTATGCTGGGTTTTTTTTTTTTTTTTTTTTTTTTTTCCTAGAAATGCATGCAGGAACCAATTTTATTTCTTCTTTGGAATAATGCACAGAATCATTCTGCTGCCCGGGACTTGTGGCTTTCCTAGCCAGACTTCCTGTACACTGCATAGAGCAGGGCAGTAGTGCTTTGGGGACATTCAAAACACACAGCTAGAAGAGTATAGCCACAGGGCTTTCTCTCTAAAAAGGGGAAACATGTTCAAACTGAGAGACTTGGGCAGGTCTTGCCAGCTTGCTGAGCTGAGCCTTCACCGTATTGTGAGCACAGGAGGGGCAGCTGAAACATGGGAAGGGTCAAGATCTGTATGCCAAGCCCGTTTGCTTGTTTTCTGGGAAATGTGTAAGGGAGGTTGAGGTATCTTGTCTGAGGTCTTAAAAATGGCTAGTTCTTGGCTGGCAGTGAGATGGAACTGGTGTGCTATTTGAAGTTGAATTTAGGGCTTCACTCTCAAGTCACCTGTGGCCTCAGGAATTTGCTGGTGTGATCTGGGAGGATTTGTTTCCTCTTTGAAATCACTTCTTTTAAAAGGCTGGTTTGATTGTAACAAAGTTGCCAATGCCTCCCCTCTTCACCCTCACATACACAAAGGGTGCATTGTTCCTGTACCCAGTGTGCTCTAAATAAGACACCAAATCAGATGCAGCAACCCAGTCTTGCATAAGCCTTAAAATGTAGTTTTTGAAACAACTAGGCCATTAGCCAGAGTGGAATTCTTTAAATGGGACAGATGTCGAGAGAATGGTCTAACTCTTTGGAGAAAAAAGCCCATCTGGGATTACAGCTTCCAGTGGCCTACTTTAAATAGACACTACTCTGGAAGATGACTTTATTTATAAATATTTTCAAACATAAAATCCCAAAAATAGAACTCCGTGAAAAGTACAATGCATGATCGGTGGCCCAGTAGCTGGCTGTTGTGATATTCTTGTCCAGCATTTGTATCTAACAGTTGATTGACCTATTGAGGTGGCTTTATGACACCTTTTACATTCATGTTGGGTTTTAGGAGTTAGCTGTATTCTTAAACATGATGGACACTGCTGTATAAAAGTAGTCTGTAGATTTATCAAACTGGAGAGGCTTTCTATAAAAATACGAAGATATCTCAAGCACCTTAATAGTTTTGGGGAAGAAAGGGTGCTGTTAAAATGCACTTTTGAAATTTCTGATCCCAAATTAAGGAAGACTCCTGGTCTGGTTTTCCTTGAAATAGGATGTATACTTGTGTTCAGTCTTTGTGTGGAAGGAAAATGGAGGGGAAGATGGAGCCTGGTGGTCATGTGGGTCCGTGGTGGCAGTTTCCAGCGCAATGTCGTGTGCAGGCTAGCCTGCACCTGCATCACTTGTGAGGTCCGAGGATTGGGGAGTTAGGACCAAGGCTTGGAATAGTAGTTTACACCTAGAATGAGCTTGGCTCTCGGGGTTGCAGCAGGGAGGTGAAGTGGACTGAAAGTCTTTAGAATGTGTGTACCATTATAGAGAGTAAACCCCAAGTTTTATGGCTGTGGGGAAGAAAAGTAGTCTGTATGCTCTGTTACTGAAACAGCATATTCCTCAGGGTCAACTTTGAAAAAGAAACCCAGTAAAAAGTATCTTTATTCTCATGTTAAAAAAAGTTTTTGTATGATGATGCATTAACAATACAAAAATATTTTGAACACTACAATAGTCCTTTTTCTCAAGACTTCTTGCAACACTATACTAGAATATATGATCTTTGGATTCTGAGAAGCCAGTGGCTAAAGTAGGAACTATGAAGGCTTTTGTTGAGGGGTGTGTGGGTATAGGAACAGCCCTTTTTCTTTGGGTTCAGGCTATATACAGTTGAGGAGACAAAGTTAAATTAAAAGTTTGTTTTTTAAGGCTCAGGCTTGAAGCTTGGCTCAGAAATGGGTTAAACTAGGCGGTGGTGAAAACCCACTGACCACCACTAGAGATTCTCTGGGCTCCTTGCTTGGATGCTGATGGTCCTCCTTCCTGCAGCCCCTTCGGGAAACTGAAGCTGAAGCGATTTCAGTGCTGTAAGGTGAGCATTGGGGGTCATGAGGTTTCTTTTGCCCTCTTAAAACTGCCTAAGAGCTGGCTAGACTGACCTGGAGAAGCAGGAGCTAGAACTGTGACAGAGGCTTTTGGTGTAGGGAGGGATGCATGCTGGATTTGGGGCCATAATTTCTTTTGAGTTCAGTCACTAGTAACAGGCATGGGACCTTGGTATCAGAGCTTCTTGGGAGGTTGAGTTTCTCTTGGAAACATACCCAAGTAATAGGAACTAGAGCCAGATACCTCTCACTGCCCATACTTGCCTGATAAGGTAGTATCAGGTTATTCCTACCGCCTGTGGTAATAGGCCTAAACTTAACCTGTTCCATTTCCTCCTAGTCTTGTAAGCTCTTGAGGACACGGCAAAAGGCTTACTCTGGTCCAGTTTATGTATGAATAACTCCTTTTCTGTCAACAGGGCTTCTCCAGGTTAAGAGAAGCATTATTGTCTTGAGCATGTGGTTGTGACCATGCTCACATGTGGTTTTGTAAACCAGCTCATTCTTGGTCCTTGAAGTGTGTGGTATGGGGAGGGTGTGGCAGTGATGGGGCCAAGGAGGTGTAGGGTGGGGAAAGCAGCTGGGCTTAGTCCAGCCTATCTGTGACCTATAGTAGAAAAGCAAGGGAGGCAGGGGCATCTGGCCAGCAAGATAGAGGGTAAAAGGAACAGATGCAGGCTGCTGTAGGCACAAGGGATGCCCTTAATTAGATGACACAATGCAGATCTGATTCCCACCATTTGGCGTAGTTTGAACTGATGGCCCCGGGTTCAGGCAGAAGTTGTGCAGCCTCGGAAGTCTCCTGGGCCCGGTCCCTGAGAGGGAGGTAACAGGGCCCCTGGCCAGTTCCCACGTGCTTTGGGGCTCTGTCGCTTCCTCTCAGAGGATGAGCCCCTGGAGGCGGCCAGGTGTCCTGTACATGCTAGGCTGCCTGTCTCTGAGATTCCTGTCGTTGCAGCTGTGTACTCTGCAGGACGCTGTGGGGGGCCTGTTGGGGTCCAGGGGGCTGGGAGGCTGAGAGCGGCCGAGAGACCTGGTGATGTAGGTGCCGGCTCCGCAGGGCTAGCAAGCAGTTCTGTGGGAAAGTGGGGTAGCAGGAGGTATGAGGGCGAGTCCTGGGGGGCTGGGGACCCGGGGCAGCCTAGAGCACTGTCATCGGAAGGAACTGGGCTGGGGCAGCGGCCTTCTCCGGGTAAGTACCGAATGCATTTCTTTTTCCTCCTAGGAATAGTGAAGAGAGTTATCTGTAAACAGAGGGTGAATTCATAGTCATACACCACAACCAGAAAATGCTGTCTTTGCACAGGCCTAACTGACCTCTTGTCCCCTCTCCCCAGGACTTGGGTGATGTGCCTGTGCCTTCACACCTAGCGCTGTGATTCTGCTGGGCCTGGCCCAAACCTGGAACAGGTGCAGTTCCCAGCGCAGCCACAAGGTGGCCCAGGAACCTTCTGTAGGCTAGCCCTGTGGGCTGCCTCATGTTTTCCAGGGGAGCCATCTCCTAGTTTGGGCCTTTGAGCCCCTGCTTCACGGGTTTGTGGGGCTCATATCTGCATTAAGGCAAAGGAATGCAGTGCTCATAATGGTGCTCAGGCAGAGCAACACAAATAGCCTCCCGACATGTGTACATATACACACATAGCCCCCAAATTCCTTTTTGCCCTTGGAGAGGAGCATGTAGGCACTTTGAGGGACTGGCAATATTTTGTAGAGTCCATGAGGAACTACCAGGCCTGGCCTCAACCAGGCAAACTTTTGCCATGTGGTAAGCATACCTTCTTTTCACACAGGCATTTCTCTGTTGTATGGCAAAACACACAGTTAGTGCCCCAGAGCCTGGTATGGCCCTTTTGATAGGACAGCCCAGGTGTACCCCTGTTCCTGTCTCCCTGCCTCTCCCATCCTTTGGTCTCAGGTACAAGCCAGGTGGCTCTCTACTATAGTCACCTTGATTTTCTTAGATTTAAGGGTTCTGGATAATACAAGCAGGAATCCCAATTTGAAGAAGTGAGGGAACTGGTGGACCATGGTGAATTCTAGGCCTGGTAGCAGGGACTTAGGTCACCTGAATGAGGTGGATGATAAGGCCTACTGTGGATATGCTAAGCTTAGCGTCAGACCATCATTAACAGAGGACTCCAGGCACTAGGCACCAGAACTACCTTCTTGAATCTGTCTCTCCACCTCATTCTTCGGAGGGCAGGTGCTCCCCAGTGTGTGGTATGCGATGGGATGGGGTACCAAATGAGGGCTACAGGCCTAGCAGAACATGTGCAGAATCAGGGAAGCAGCTTGAAGCAAAGGGAGGATGGTGGTGGGGACAAACCCACCTGCACGGACCACACCAATCCGTCTGCTGGTTGAGGCCAAAGCGAGCACGGCATTTCTTAGGCGAGCCAGGGTCTGCTCACAGCCATGCCAGAGGGGCAGAGCAGGGCAGAGGGCGAGCAGGCAGGCAGCAGGGCAGAACAGGGCCCAGAAAGAAGAGGTAACATCAGTGTCAGCCAGTCACAGATACCCCATAGGTCCCATGGGCACAGGGCCTCGCCATGGCACAGCCAGCCCCGGTGGGAGCCCCGGGACCCAGAGCCAAGGTATCAGGAAAGGTGGACACCTAGCTAGGCGGTAGAGGCAGTGGGAAGAATGGTGGAGGTGGGGGAAGGAGGGGATCCTATCATGTTGGCTCCTCTCAGGTTGCAGCACAGGAGCAGTGGGAGAGGAGCCCAGGGAGGCCCATGGTGATCCAGCCTCTTCTGCCTCACTGCCCCCCTCCCCCAACTCCCTGCGCAATCTGCCTGACCCACATCCCCCTCCTGCTGTAGCTTAAACCTAGTCTACACACATTTTCAGATGGAAACTAAAGCTGTGTGACTTCTGGACCTAGACATGGCTGCACCTCCACCCATACAGACTGCTGCCCATTGTGGCAGAATCGTAGAATCCATTGCTCCTAGCAGCGCTAGCAAAGGTAGGAGACTTGTGGCGAGGCAGTACACCAGTGTTAACTCTGGTCAAAGAACTCGGTACAGCTATTCTTCACAAGGGTATTTGACTTACGAGAAGTGGGCCTTGTTTCCGAAGGGCCCAGGCCTTTGAAGGTATGTGGCTCAGTACTCTGTCCCTCCCTCTGGGCCAGAGCAGGGTGCTCATGAAATGTGGGCCTGGAGGGGAGTGTGCACTGCTGAGGGAAAGCCTCACCTGTGTTGGACTCCTGGTGCTTTTCTCGTGACCGCCTCTTTTTCTTCCCCTGCAGGGAATAAAGGGAGGGATGCTTGGATCTGGCAGGTGGTCCCTTTATAACTCCATCGAGTGAGTGGTTGGAAGAGCTGCAGCCTTGCTTGCCTGTTGCTGAGATTCTGGGTACATGATCCCTTCTACATGGAAGGCCTAGTATTTGACTGCAGTTTTTACCAGGGTACCATGGGAGTTAAAGACGACTCCTCCCTCTCCCATGCTGGTCTCCATTTTGAATGGAGAAGACTTACAGGGCCCCATACGCCCCTCCTGCCTTTGTGGCCAAATGCTGCGCGACAGCCCTGAGGGGAAGTATGTCCTAGGTGGAAAAGAGGACATGGGCCTGCCTTTTAGGGCAGCTTCCCTTGTTTAGCTGGCTTCGGAGCTGGCCAGGTGAGGCCTTGAGCCCTATACCGCACCTGCCCTCTGTATCTGTGCCTTCAGGACGGTGGTCTGCCTTTCCCCGTTGAGAGTGTGGCCCGGGGCATGGCATCTTGAAGGTTCCCCTACCCATCCCTGTCACCGGACACTCACATAGTTGTCACGCGCCGACCAGCCTGGGTAGAGCTGCATGTGCAGCTGCCTCTCTTTTCGGGCCAGCTCATAATACTTGGCCTGCTCTTCCCGAGACAGCGCGTGCCACTGCAGCAGGAAAGGAGGGGTAGAGATGGCAGTGCATCAGGGAGTCAACAGGCAGCACCAGGGGACAACCCTGCCAGCCCACCTGCCCGTGGCCTCACCCTGCGGCCCAGGATCTGGTTGATGGCAGCACTCTCCTTGAGTGTACACTCTGCAATGACCTTGGCTCTCATCTCCTTCATGTACAGCATGAAGGCATTGAGAGGCTTCTTGATGGTTGGCTTCTTGGCCTCTTTCTCTGCCTTGGATTCCGCCTGTGTCTTCCTGAGAGGCACAAGTCCAGATCACACAGGAGCCCCCAGTATCCAGCTAAAGCTACTGCCTTCTAGCATGTGTCCAGTGTGTGTGCCAGTGCATAGAAACTAGGGTTTTATAAATGGTATCTTTGTTAGTTACTCCAAAATGGGTGATCAGAACTAAGTAACTTCGTTACGGAAATACTGCACCTAAGTAAGAAAAACCTGTTTAAGGACTTCACAACCCCTCCTCTGTTGGCTCAAACTAAATCTTTTTTCCACACCCCATACATTTCCTCCTGCTTCTAAGGATCAAAAAACACTGGTCAGGGGCACCCGGTTGGCTCAGTCGGAGGAGTGTGTGATTCTCGATCTCAGGGTTGTGAGTTCAAGCCCCACAATGGGTGTAGAGATGCTTAAATAAATAAACTGAAACAAAATAAAATTTTGGTCAGTGGCAAGAACAAGATGGCTTGACCAGAGGCCCCCTGTGGCAGTCCCTGGAGTTTCTAGGCAGCAGGCATGGAGCCTGGCGGGAGGAATGTTTTCCCTGGCAGATCAACAGATGGGAGCCTAAGATCTGCTCGCGTGTTCCCCTCCCTCTTCCACACCGTGGGCCTTTTCACTCACAGGCTACGGTCATATGGCTGCAGCTCCTGCTTGCCTGAGGGAGGTACGATAGCCGGGTGGGGGATGGCTGCAGGGTGACCAGGCACACCGGAGCCTAGCATCAGGGATGGGTGGGTGAACCTAAAGGCAGAAGGAGAGTTAAAATTGAGCCAGGAATGTAGAGTCCAGAGCTTTGGACACACGGAGCCGCCTGCACAGGACACGACAGATGAACAGACACCCCACCTCCAGTGGCTGGCACACGAGTACAGATACACACCAACACAAACACCTGCTTCCAGAATGTTACAGACACCGCAGAAATCTGTATACATGTCATTCAGGTGGTTACTAAGTCCTAAATAGCTTTGAATCTGTTCCCTTACCTTGTGCTTTCACCAGCTCAGCCTCCTGAACCTGTAGCTACCCCGTGAGCTTCCTTACTCTCCTGCTTGAGCCCTGCAGGCCTCTCCACACAACTCCCAGAGTGACCTTTTAAACACTTGAGTGCTCTTGGCCCCTCCTGCTGAAACTCCCCCCGTTGCTCACAGAATAAAACCCAGGCTCCTCCGCAGGACCCGCCCTGCCTTGAATGAATGTCTCTGATGACACTTCTTAGCTCCATCTTTTCCCCTGTTTTCCATCACTTTCCATTCCTAGCCATCCCCAACTAGAGCTGTTCCCTTTGTCCCCTGTGCTCAGATGTCATGAAGTTCTTCCAATTTGTGTCCCTGCCCTGGCTGGGGTCTGGTTAGGGTTTTCCCGTCTCCCAGATAGCCCATTCAGCTGTCAGTGCTAGGTCCATACCTCCCACCCTGGGCTGTAAATTCCAATAGGGCTGAAACTGTCTGCTGAGTTCCTTATCCCACACCAGGTCTGAGTCTTACTGACAGAGTGTGCAAAGTGAAGGGACACAAACGTATACACACATACCTTTTACTTCACTTTTCTGTTGTTCTGTGGAAACCACCCTGCCCTTGCTCCTTTCTCTGAGCAGGCAGTCCCCAAGGGCCTACTGTTGCAGACCCACGTAAAAGGTGATGCCTCAGCTTGGGCAGGGCTCACGGAATGCCCAGGAGAGTTGGCTTGTCCCGCCCTTCAGCAGGGATGCACAACACAGGTGAGTGCACACACACCTGCACGTGGGCTGATTCACGCTTGCAGAGGCAGCAGCACAAGCACGGGTGTGCACTCACTGGCCCTGGCTGCTCTAGGGTGCTCGGCTGCATGGTCTGACCTGGGTTGAGGCCTCTGGCTCTCCCACCGGCTTCATTCTCAGGCACAGGGCAGCAGGGGGCTGCAGAATGACAGACGGACGGATGGACAGACAACTAGCACAGGGCAAGCACGGGCCTGGGCACGGCCTCATGTGGGCTCTGAAGCCTGGGCAACAGGAAGCAGGAGCCTGGCTGCAGGGTATGGGACTCACCTGGGGTAGGGGGCGCCAGGGGCTGCAGTGGGGGCAGGGAAGTGCTGTCTATATCCGCAGGAAGGGGACAGGGGGTAGAGAGGAGGGCTGGGCCTGTGGTTGGGAGAGACAGCTGTTAGCAATCTGGCTACTGGCCAGATGTAGGGAAAGACTTCCCCACTTTGCTTGACCCATAGGGTACGGCAATTTGGCCTCCACTAGGACTCCTCAAGCATGTATATGAAGCATCTGCCACCAGAGGGCAACCTGTGCTGCACCTACTTCCCTCTACAGACTTGTACTGGTGCTTAAAGGGCAGAAATGGCAGTATTCTCCTGGGACCCAGCTCAGTAGACCACTTCCCCCCCCCCCCCCCCCCCCCAGCTCACCTCCAGCCTTACTTCCTAAAATTTCATCAGAACAGCATTGATACCTGTCCTAGGGCTTTTGCAGTCACTGTTGACACTGTTCTGCCCGCTTTGTCCCCTTTCAACTCCTGGTCTTTGTTCAGCTCTTGCTTGGCTAAATGACTTTTTTTCCTAAAAGCCCTGGAAATCCCAGGCTGGATGAGGCACCCCTCCGGGCTCTTACAGTCCCCAATAAAAGCACTGCTAATACTGCCCTGTAATTGTTGGGTCCCTGACCTGGGTAGTACACCCAAGGATTGGCAAACCCCAATCCTGGGAGTATCTGTGGGTATACTCCTGACTGGTACTGAGGATGGAGCACTGTCCAAGGAGAATCTGGGAATAGAAGAGTGAGCTGAATATGGACAAAGAGCAAGTGGAAAAGGGCAGGTGGGCCTCAGGTTGGACCTCTGGGCTTCCCTACCGTGCCGGGAAACCAAGATTTCCTGCTGTGGGGTGCTGCCCCAGCCTGGAGAGGCTAGAGACGCATCCAGAACACACTGTGGTTGATGAGCAAAGGACCAACCAGCCCGCCAAGACCTGGCTCCAGCTCCAGACCAGCCCTCTGGCCCACAACTAGGTCTAGTGACTCGAGGTTCAGGCTGGCTTTTGCTGGCCCAGCCTTCACAGACCCTCCAAGCAAGCTTTTCAAGGAGCCGGCCAGGGGCTTGGAATCAGGCAGGCACCAGAGGGGGCAAAGAACACTGTTCCTCAGGAAGCTCAGCCAAGGGACCAGTCCCCAGTAGGCACTGGGATGAGTGTAGTATCCCCCCTGCCCACCAGGTGGCTGAGAGGCAACAGCCTCTTGGAACCATTCATATTGCCCCTCCCTGCTCAGGTGGGCCTGCCTTTTCTTCCTTACTCTCCTAACCCTGAGTGGCTTGGTGCTCCCCACCCCTACCAAGTCTCTCAGACATTGAGGCAGATGTCGAATGCAGAAGGTCTTGACCAGGAGCCAAGGGCAGTGTGCTGGGCTACATGGGCAATGAACAGAGCTGCCGGGCAGCTCCTGGTACAGACACAAGACCTGGCAGCGGGGTGCTGTGAGAAGGACGGAGAAGGAAAAGGAAACGGCAGGTACGGGTTTCCCCAACGCAAGGTGCCCTCTTCCCACTGGGTTCACACTCACCAGCTCACAGTGTGGGGAAGCTGTCCCATGCTGCCTGAGGTCAGAGAGTAGAAGCCAGAGAGGTCAGGGGTCTGCAGAGGCCTGTGAACTCCTACAGTGGAGAGGGGCCAAGTAAGTGATCTATCCTGACCTGGAAGCCACTTCTGCTAGTTACTGCCTCCTAGGCCTTCCTGTGGGGCCTCTCCCACCTCCCATTAGCTAGAGGACCAGACATACTGGTTTGTTGAGGACTGTTCCAGTGTGATAATGGTACCCCGTTTATAGGCTAGGGAAGCAAGGACAGAGTGGCAGGGTGACTAGCCTAAGGATACAGGCTGCCAGTGGGAGAGCTGGAGTCACTCAGGAGTGGGATGGCTGGGCCTCATCATGCCCCTGCCCGCTGCTGGTCTTCAGCTGGGGCCTCTAAGCTGGGGGCTCTGGCCTGGCTTTCTGGGCAGGAGGCAGGCCCCCTGGCCTGGACAGCCAGGGTTCCACCCGCCCCCTTTGGCTCCCCAGGGTTGAGTCAGCAGGTTTCCCACAGCCGACAATGGCTGATTTCAGAATGACTTTCCCTGAGGCTGAGGTGAATCAGCCATCACAACCACCACTTTCCATTTTCTCATTGAGGGAGGGTGGGCAGGGAGGGAAGGATACAGGTTTTACAGTCTTCAGTTTTACACAGATTCCTGCTCCCATATACTGGCACTGGGAGGTCATTCAGGATGTGGGTTTCTACCTCAACCCGAAACCTTCCAAGTTTGACCTAGTACCACCTGCTCTCAGGCTCCCAGGCCATCTTTCTGGCATTTTTCTTGGGGTTTTGAGCTTGCCCAGCGCCAGGCTTTCCAGTTGTTAAAAAGGGGCTAACCCCCCTGGACCCAGAAGCCTAGGACTTGGCCCCTAGGCTCTGGGACCGACAGGCCCCTCCCCTTCCCAGATCCATACCTTGCTTCTGGCTGATGTCGGCTGGTGCAGGTGTAGGGTGTGGGCTGCTGAAATGTTCATAGAGAGGAGAGAGCTGTGGGACGCTGTGGGCTGGCTGACTGGCCTTGTTGTGCTGAAAAATGAGGAGGGAGGGTGTGAATGTGGGGAGACCCGAAGGAGGAAGGCACAGGGCTGGGGGCATACATATAAACAGAGCCCCTTTTAGCTGTGTGGGTAGCCCAAATGTCAAAGGAAAGTGGGGGTGGTTAAAACCATAGGCCTCAGGAGAAGGGGCACCACTCAAGACATCCTATGTCTAGTGGCCCTGCCCACAGCCCCCCAGACTTTGCTCAAGCAGTCCCATCACCTACAGAGTCTCCTGGTTTGTGTATACTCAGTTCCAGGAGGTGCACCTCTCCTGTCCAGGGAATTTCCTGCCTCTAGGTCTGAGACCACCGCCCACCCCCGCCACCATTTCTCTGAGGCCCTGTGGCTTGTATGGGGGGCTTCTCATACCCTCCAGCCCCAGACACCAGGTAATGGTCTGAAGACCTGGCTTACCCCAAGACAGCCTGGAGTTCTTTTTCCTACTTCTCCACCCCCAGACTTGGGGGTCCTAAATCTGACCCTCTGTTCCACCTCAAGCTTAACAGGATTTGTGGGCACAAGGAAGGTTCCCATCAGCACTCTAACTCAGAGCAGGTGGGTCAGGTGGGGACAGGCTTCCTCCAAGGCCGACCCACCCAGCCCCCACACTTCCTGTCTCCTCAGCAATACAGGACTCTTACTTTTCTCACTAGTCACATGGATCTGTCAGGAGATGACTCATGCTGGGAAGGGGGCTCCCCGTAGGACCCAGCCACGGGGAGGTGCTGCTTGGGGCCAAGGCACAGCTCTGCACATCCCCAGTGCACATCTGCACAGTCCAGGACCCTGGAAACATCATCTACAATTGAGGCTCAGCTTCCACTTGGAAAAGTTCACCTGGGGGGATTCTGCTGGCTAGGAGCACAGATAAGTGTCTTTTGACTCCTGGCACAGAAGAAACGGGACAGCTTTGGAGCACGACAGCCATGAGAGGTTGTGGCCTGAGCTCCTTCCCATCCTGTGGGTGAATTTAGCCAGACTCCTTAACATCTCTGGGCTTCAGTTTCCTCTCTTGTGTAATGGATGGGGTTCATGCTCCCTGCATCACTAGGTTTGGGGAAGCTTAGGGTACCTTATGGTGAGGCACAGGTCCCTTGGGTTTGGCAGTCTGTGGTCCAGGATGAGGTGAGAAAAGGCCAGGTATGAATTGTGACTCAGCCAAGGTGTGAGGCTTCAGGGGGACACAGGCTCCCACACTTCCCGGTAACTGCCCTGGCTGCCCTCTTCCCCACATTCCTGCCTCCAGGGGAGCTTGAGGCTGGGTTCCAAGCTGCAGCACCCCTCCCGTCAGGGCTTGGGGAAGTTACCGACACCACCCACCTGTTCAATCCCGAGCTTGTTCATCTGCCCACTGAGAACCTTACATACCAGGACCTTGTGTCCTCAGGCAGACAGGGGTTGGTGTCCCAAAAGCAGTGGCTTCTTTGTGGTGGGCATGGATGTGTGGCACCACAACCCCTTCCTGAGCACCTCTCTCTGGAGCCTTCTCTTCGCTTCCTGGAGCAGCCTAGGAAGGACTCCCTGCTGTGGGCCTGAGGAGGAGTCAGCTGACCACGTTCAGATCCTGGTTCTAACGTGTGTGGCCTTTAAGAACTTACTATAATACCTGAGCATCTGTTTTCTTGTCAAATGGAGATGAACATAGGGTTGTTGTAAGAGTAAAGCCACAAGATACCCAAGAGCTCTATTACCCAGCTGTAGAGTCATGAGGAAGGGACGTTCAGGAAGCCCCTTACCTGCACAAAGAAATGCTACTCACAGTCCTTCCCTGGCCCTGTGGTGCTAGCCTCACATGGGCCAGACAGTTTTAGTCTGAATTCACCGGAGGGGATTTGCCTGGGGACAGAAGACCCAGCTGGTAGCCTACTTGGCAACATCACCCGGGGAGGCCACGGTGTCTCCAGGCCCTGGGTGCTGGGACTTTACTGCTCATGTTCTAAGGTTTCCCAGAGCAAGCTGAGAGGCTCATGCCACACTCCGGCCTTCTTTATCCCCAGAAGTGACCTCAGAGTCAGAGTCAGAGTATGTGTAGGAATGGAAGGTAGAAAGTAGGCTCCTCGGGCTGGAAAGAGTGGGTTCGAAAGGCTGTGGGGTATGTGGATACCTGTGGAATCCTTCATGTGTTGACTGCCTGCAACCTGTGAGGTACTGTGCCAAGCACTTTGCAAGCCCAGGCTCATTCCCACTAGGGTACCAACAGGCTGCCATTTCTCCCATCTGTAAATCTTCATCTTCCTCAGCCACCACCTCATGTCTTGCTCCCTTTTGTTGCAAACCTCAGGAGAGCCATTGCCAACCTCGGCTTCCTGTTCTTAATCTTGTGCTCCTGTCAGCCTAGCCAATCCCCTGCCCCATCACTTCACCAAATGGCACTTGTCAAGGTCCCCAGTGACTGCCACGCTGCCTGAACTCAATGGTCAGTTCTCAGTCTTCCTCCTACCTGACCTCTCAGCAGCACCGGACACAACCGATTTCTCCCTCCTCCTTGAAAGATTTTCTTTGCTTGGCTTCCAGAATGCCACACTGACCTATTTTCTTCCAAGCTCAGAGGCCATTCTTTCTTGGGCTAATTTCTGGCTCCTCATCTTCTTCCTGATCCCACCCAAGATGTGCCCTTGGCTTTCCATCTACCATCCTTTCCAGAGTGTTCTCATCCAGGGTGGTAGCTTCAAATGTCCTCATCTGATTACTGACATTTCTATCTCAGCCTGTGCTTCCCCTAGGGAACACCACTCCCCAAATGCATACTCACCAAGTCTACCCAAAAGTCAGAAATGCTGCCCAAACCCAGTATGGCCAAAGCAGAGCCTCTGGTGTGCTGCACCAAATGCTCCTCTCCGTCTTCCCCAGTTACTGGCAATGCTCTCGTTCCAGATGCTCAGACACCTTGGAGTAATCCTGGACTCTCTTCTCTCACACACGTCTCCAATTTGTCAGGCAATCCTAATGGCTCTACTTTCAAGATAATTGAGAGCCCACCACTCCTTCCTCCCTAGCCCCAACTTAGTCCAAGCCCCAGTCGCTTCCCACTCAGACAACTCCAGTAGCCTCTTGCCCTCCGCCATTCTTCCATCCAGCAAACCCGTGCCTCAGATCACACCATTCCCCTGCCCAGAGCAAGAAACAGCCTTAGATGACCTACAAAGCTGTGTGTGGTGAGGCCCACTCTCTCCCTAACCCCACTGCCTCCCTCTCTTCCCTGCTCACTATGCCCAGCATTTCCCATGTGTGCTTCAGCCTCCAGCCTCCTTCTCCAGTTAGTGTAAGGATACATATTTTTAATTTTTTTATTAGAGAACACATGCACATGCAAGTGGGGGGAGAGGGGCGGGGTGGGAGAGAAGGGAGGGAGGGTGAGAGAGAGGGGGAGGGTGAGAGGGGGAGGGTGAGAGAGGAAGGGAGGCAGGGAGGGAGAGACAGAACGAGAATGAATTAATCTTAAGCAAGCTCCAGGCTCAGCATGGAGCCTGATGTGGGGCTCAATCCAACGACCCTGGGATCATGACCTGAGCCCAAACCAAGAGTCGGATGCTCAACTGAGCCACCCAGGCACCCCAGTCTAGTGATAATTTTTAAGTGAGCCACAATGAAGTGGGCTGGGAAGCCTAGCTCTAAGGCTCCCTGACCTTTACATCAACTTCTTCACTACAGAATCCTGGGTCATTATGCCCCTTGAAAAGCGATGAGAAAATCAGCCCTGATTACCTCACTGATCACAGATGCAAAAACTATGTTAGAATTTTGGGGAGCAGCAGCCGAAGACCTAGGAAGCTTCCTGGAAGCCTCTGGGACCAATTTATCCTGACAGGCAACCAGGACAGTAGTAGCCAGACAGCATCAGCCCTGACCAGACCTTGAGACAGGGAGACAGGTCAGAGACCGTTCCCTCAAGAACCTGGGACTCTGGTAGAAGGCATTCCACCATTTGCCACAACTGGAGCCCTGGCCCATTAGTTGGAATGAACTTCCTCCAAAGATCCCTCCGCCTGGGGGCTTTTGAGTGTAAGCTCCTGCTTCAGAGAAGGCCTTGCCATCTAAGTCCCAGTTCTGGCTCTTTGGACCCCAGGAATATAAGCCTGGCTGGGGAGTGGGACCCTGGGAAGGAAGTATTAGAACCAGAGGCTGGGGTCCAAAGTGCCAGCTACATGAAGACAGTCCCACTCTGCCCAGGAAAAGGGTGGCGGTGGGGGGGGGGGGGGGGAAGCCTGCTTCCAGGCAGGAGAGGGTAGCTCCACAGTACGTTTCTCAGCAAACCACCCTTCTTGGGGAGGGCTAGCTTTGGTCAAGAAACCATGGAGAGCCCCCTCACCTGAGGGAGGACCAGAGCTGACTCTCCTTGGCCAGGCTAGTAAAGCCCCAGGCTGCAGCACAGCCAGGCTTGGAAATCTCAGAATCCAGCTCAGCCTACGGTCTCTGGCCTGGGATGCAGGTGGACAATGGGTATGGAGGGGGTGGGAGGTAGGAGGCGTTGCCTGAAGGTCAGAGGGCTTATCCTGTCCACGAGCCTTCCCTGGGAACTGGGGAAAAGCCTCTAATTAAACAAGAGTCTGCAGCCAAACCCCAGGAGAGATGCCAGGTAGGCAGGGGTGGGGCAGAGAACATGCCAGCAGCTAGAGGCCCTGAGGTGGCCAGGGATCCAGGGGAGGGCACTGAGGGCCCGTCCAGTCCTTCCCACATTTATGCATGCTGCCCCCCAGCCTCACACTCCCCTGCCCCCTGTGTCTGTGGTGGTAGCCAGGGGGAATGTCGGGCGTAGGGCCCGGTGCCCCACACCCCCCTCTGCCAGTGGAACGTCCCGCTCCACGGCCTCAGCACAAGGCTGTCCTGGGGCCAGGCTGCCCAGACAAGGTGGGGTTGCCTGGGGACTAGCATGTGCATGAGGAACCTGATGACTGGAGCTCCTCTCCTGTCCTCCCTCTGATGATACCTGCCTGGCAGGCCTGGGTTGACTGTCCCCATGAGGCCCTGAGCATCTCGACTACACAA